AAGAATTCGATCGCCAAGCCTTGCGGTGTAGGTCTTGGCTCCCTTCGAGTTCGTGTCCATGCCGGCCTTTGCCAACCGCCGCACGGAAATCAGGTTTGCAGCAAGGCTGGGCACCCAAAGCACGTTCTTGAGGCCCACCATCTTCCCATCAGCACCCTTGAACATGGCCTTGCCCATGCCTTTCACCTCTGCTCGCTGCCCCAAAGCCGATGTGACATGCTTCACCGGTGACGGCTCGAGTTCGGTGAGCAAGTCCGGGCGAGGTGTCATGCTATAGGTAGCGCCACTATCAATCACCCAATAGTCCAGGGGGTGTAGGGTCACCTTCCCCACAGCTGCTGGCTCCTCAAAGCCTTGATCCTTCTCTGGACCAGCCGGTACTTGCGTCGACACGAAGTAGAATAGACCCGGGTATCGATCGTCGCTCGGGTCCTTGTCGTTGTCTCCGCTCTTCATGTTTGCAGCTCCGCCACCGCGACCGCCACGGCCTCCACGGCCTCGTCCTCTCCCTCTTCCTGCTCCTCTACCCTCTTGGCCTTGAGCAGGGGTCCAACCATCAGGGAGTTTGTAGCAGTCGCGCCACATGTGTCCGCTCTTGTGGCAATAGTGACACTCGCCGTCGAATCGGCCGCGACCGCGTCCGTAGCTCTTGTCGTCGCTGCCGTAACCGCCACTCCTGCGGCCTCCGCCGAAGTTGCTGTCACCAAACCTTCCTCCCCCTCGTCCTCTGCCTCTTCCTCGACCATATCCACGGCCGATGCTCGCTGCCCCAGCGCCATCCGCACTCGCCAACTCACGGCGGCGGAAATCCTCTTGAAGGATAGCTCGCTTCACGTCTTCAAGCGAGAGGCGGGGCAAGTCGCGATTAAGGTTGATGATGAGCGAGGACCATGACTCTGGGAGTAAGGCCAGCAACTTGGTCTTCTTTTGGAGCTCACTGTAGTTCAAATCAGCTCCCTCAAACCGCGTCAACAAGTCGAAGAATTTCTGCACCCCTTCTTCAACCGCTTCGTCTTCTTCAATTCGTAGTGCCGCCATTTGCCGTTCCAACACCACCGCTACCGCCGCTGTTGCAGGAGCATGTACACCCTTGAGAGCAGCCCATGCCTTTGGTCCTTTCTCTGGTTCACGCTGGAATGGCTTGATGTGACGGATCTGACTGCTCCCCAACGCTTGCCCAAGTAAGAGATAGCCTTGTGCGCTCTTCCGCACCCACGGGCTCTTCTCCGGGTCGTTCTCGGGGCGCTTCTCCGTTCCTTCCATCACCTCCAGCAGGTCATAGTGGTCAAAGATGTTCTCCATCTTGAAGGACCATTCAGCAAAGTTGTCACCGTTGAACTTGTCAAGCCCAAACACCCTAGGCTCATCCCTAGGTGGGCCAAGACTTGGTTGCATGGGCGCCATGGCTGAATCACGGGGTTGGCCTTGAGCTTGAGCTTCTCCACTGCCACCAGCACCTCTGCCACCCCTTTCCTCAGGTCCAGACATTGTCGAAACTGCTCCAAGGGCCTCTGATACCACTTGATATAGTTACAATAGGCTTGAATGTGCCTAAAACGAAAGATAGAGAGCACAGACGGATTTCTGCACAGCGGCTTCAAACGTTGATAGCGTTCTGCTCACAGCTGCAAATGACTTGATTCAAATTGGATCTGGAGCGTCTTCACGTCGTCTACAATTATCAGTTTAGATTGCACGATTTGATAAAGAATTGACGACACAGCGTCGGTTTGAACGAACGGTACTATGGCAGCCACTATAGTCTTAGAACACAAGATAGGAAGAGTTACGAGTTGGGAATGACTCCCAGCTCCTACAAACCCCAAGAGCCGAGGTACAGTGATGTGGAACAGTGCCACACTGTCCCCAACCACGAAGGGTCTCGAAACTACCCTTCACTAGGGCCTACACCAAGTGAAATGTTACACTACACAAAGTAATGTAACTATCTTCAATATCTTGAGGTGTACCCTTTTGGCAAGCTTCGAAATCACTTGAGGCTTGACACCAAGGCTCGGGCTCTTCATCACAAACTCATCCTTGAGTTCTTGATGGGTCTGCTGCACACACCTGCGACACGCCGAACGTTCGACACAGGACAAAATAGAAACCGCGCACGACAAAATAGAAACCGCGCGCGAGACACAAACGACCGCGTAACACGCGTCTAGCGATAACTCGCTATTGACTCGACACACACACTCGACATCATGACTCAACATTCACACACAATTATAAGCATGAAATATATATTATCACATGCCCTCATACCATTCCATACACACACACATTCACGCACACGGACAACAAGCCGAGTGCAAACCGTAGGGTTGCACCAACAGCCTGTTGGCCGAATGGACCGGCTGGATCAACTTGCCTGTTGCTCCAATGAACCGGTTGGACCAACTGGCCTGCTCATCCAATGGACCAGTTCGATCAACTGGCCTATTGGTCCTATGGACCGCTTGGACCAACGGGCCTGTTGGTCCTATGGACCAGTTGGACCAACTGACGTGTTGATCCTATGGATCGTTTGGACTAACTGGCCTGTTGGTCCTGTGGACGGTTCGGACCAACTGGCCTGTTGGTCCTATGGAGCGGTTGGACCAACTGACGTGTTGGTCTTATGGACCGGTTGGACCAACTGGCCTGTTGGTCCCATGGACCTGTTGGACCTACTGGCCTGTTGGTCCTATGGACCGGTTGGACCAACTGGCCTGTTGTCCGAATCGACCGGTTAGACCAACTGACCTGTTGGTCCAATGGACTGGTTGGACCAACTGACGTGTTGGTCCTATGGACCGGTTGGACCAACTGGCCTATTGATCCTATGGACCGGTTGGACCAACTGACATGTTGGTCATATGGACCGGATGGACCAACTGGCCTATTGGCCGAATGGACTACTTGGACCAACTGACCTGTTGATCCTATTGACCGGTTGGACCAACTCGCCTTTTGGTCCTATGGACTGGTTGGACCAACTGGCCTGTTGGCCGAATGGACCGGTTGGACCAACTGGCCTGTTGGGCGAATGGACCGGTTGGACCAACTGGCCTGTTGGTCCTATGGACCGGTTGGACCAACTGGCCCATTGGTCCTATGGACCGGTTGGACCAACTGAAGTTTTGGACCTATGGACCAATTGGACCAACTGGCCTGATGGTCTTATGGACCGGTTGGACCAACTGGCCTATTGGCCGAATGGACTGGTTGGACGAACTGGCCTGTTGGTCCTATGGACCAATTGGAACAACTGACGTGTTGGTCCTATAGATCGGTAGGACCAACTGGCCTGTTGGTCCTATGGATCGGTTGGACCAACTGACGTGTTGGTCCAATGGACCGGTTGGACCAACTGGCCTGTTGGTCCTATGGACCGGTTGGACCAACTGAACGTGCTGGTCCTATGGACCGGTTGGACCAACTGACCTATTGCTCCTGTGGACCGGTTGGACCAACAAGCCTGTTGGTCCTGTGGACCGGTTGGACCAACTGGCCTGTTGGTCCTATGGACAGGTTGGACCAACTGACGTATTGATCCTATGGACCGGTTAGACCAACTGGCCTATTGGTCCTATGGACCGGTTGGACCAACTAGCTTGTTGGCCAAATGGACCGATTGGACCAACTGACCTGTTGGTCGTATGGACTAGCTGGACCAACTGGCTTGTTGGTCCTATGGACCAGTTGGACCAACTTGCCTGTTGCTCCAATGGACCGGTTGGACCAACTGGCCTGTTGACCCACTGGACCAGTTGGACCAACTGTCCTGTTGGTCCTATGGACCGGTTGGACCAACAGGCCTGTTGGCCGAATGGACCGGTTGGACCAACAGGCCTGTTGGTCCTATGGAACGGTTGGACCAACCGGTCCATAGTACCAACAGGCCAGTTGGTCCAACCAGTCCATTTGGCCAACAGGCCAGTTGGTCCAACCGGTCCATAGGACCAACAGGCCAGTTGGTCCAACCGGTCCATAGGACCAATAGGCCAGTTGGTCCAACCGGTCCATAGCACCAATAGGCCAGTTGGTCCAACCGGTCCATAGAACCAACAGGCCAGTTGGTCCAACCGGTCCATTCGGCCAACAGGCCAGTTGGTCCAACCGGTCCATAGGACCAACAGGCCAGTTGGTCCAACAGGTCCATTCGGCCAACTGGCTAGTTGGTCCAACCAGTCCATTTGGCCAACAGGCCATGGTCCAACCGGTCCATAGGACCAACAGGCCAGTTGGTCAAACCGGTCCATAGGACCAACAGGCCAGTTGGTCCAACCGGTCCATTTGGCCAACAGGCCATGGTCCAACCGGTCCATAGGACCAACAGGCCAGTTGGTCAAACCGGTCCATAGGAACAACAGGCCAGTTGGTCCAAATGGTCCATAGGACTAACAGGCCAGTTGGTCCAACCGGTCCATAGTACCAACAGGCCAGTTGGTCCAACCGGTCCATAGGCCCAACTGGCCAGCTGGTCCAATCGGTCCATAGGACCAACATGCCAGTTGGTCCAACCGGTCCATAGGACCAACAGGCCAGTTGGTCCAACCGGTCCATAGGAACAACAGGCCAGTTGGTCCAACCGGTCCATAGGACCAACAGGCAAGTTGGTCCAACCGGTCCATAGGACCAACATGCTAGTTGGTCCAACCGGTCCATAGGACCAACAGGCCAGTTGGTCCAACCGGTCCATAGTACCAACAGGCCAGTTGGTCCAACCGGTCCATAGGACCAACAGACCAGTTGGTCCAACCGGTCCATAGGACCAACATGCCAGTTGGTCCAATCGGTCCATAGGACCAACAGGCCAGTTGGTCCAACCGGTCCATAGGACCAACAGGCAAGTTGGTCCAACCGGTCCATAGGACCAACATGCCAGTTGGTCTAACCGGTCCATAGGACCAACAGGCCAGTTGGTCCAACCGGTCCATAGTACCAACAGGCCAGTTGGACCAACCGGTCCATAGGACGATCAGGCCAGTTGGTCCAACCGGTCCATAGGACTAACAGGCCAGTTGGTCCAACCGGTCCATAGGACCAACATGCCAGTTGGTCCAACCGGTCCATAGGACCAACAGGCCAGTTGGTCCAACCGGTCCATAGTACCAACAAGCCAGTTGGTCCAACCGATCCATAGGACCAACAGACCAGTTGGTCCAACCGGTCCATAGGACCAACATGCCAGTTGGTCCAATCGGTCCATAGGACCAACAGGCCAGTTGGTCCAACCGGTCCATAGGACCAACAGACCAGTTGGTCCAACCGGTCCATAGGACCAACATGCCAGTTGGTCCAATCGGTCCATAGGACCAATAGGCCAGTTGGTCCAACCGGTCCATAGGACCAACAGGCAAGTTGGTCCAACCGGTCCATAAGACCAACATGCCAGTTGGTCCAACCGGTCCATAGGACCAACAGGCCAGTTGGTCCAACCGGTCCATAGTACCAACAGGCCAGTTGGACCAACCGGTCCATAGGAACAACAGGCCAGTTGGTCCAAATGGTCCATAGGACGAACAGGCCAGTTGGTCCAACCGGTCCATAGGACCAACAGGCCAGTTGGTCCAACCGGTCCATAGGACCAACAGGCAAGTTGGTCCAACCGGTCCATAGGACCAACATGCTAGTTGGTCCAACCGGTCCATAGGACCAACAGGCCAGTTGGTCCAACCGGTCCATAGGACCAACAGGCCAGTTGGTCCAACCGGTCCATACGACCAACAGGCCAGTTGCTCCAACCGGTCCATTCGGCCAACAGGCCAGTTGGTCCAACCGGTCCATAGGACCAACAGGCCAGTTGGTCCAACAGGTCCATTCGGCCAACTGGCTAGTTGGTCCAACCAGTCCATTTGGCCAACAGGCCATGGTCCAACCGGTCCATAGGACCAACAGGCCAGTTGGTCAAACCGGTCCATAGGACCAACAGGCCAGTTGGTCCAACCGGTCCATTTGGCCAACCGGCCATGGTCCAACCGGTCCATAGGACCAACAGGCCAGTTGGTCAAACCGGTCCATAGGAACAACAGGCCAGTTGGTCCAAATGGTCCATAGGACTAACAGGCCAGTTGGTCCAACCGGTCCATAGTACCAACAGGCCAGTTGGTCCAACCGGTCCATAGTACCAACAGACCAGTTGGTCCAACCGGTCCATAGGACCAACAGGCCAGTTGGTCCAACCGGTCCATAGGACCAACATGCCAGTTGGTCCAACCGGTCCATAGTACCAACAGGCCAGTTGGTCCAACCGGTCCATAGGACCAACAGGCCAGTTGGTCCAACAGGTCCATTCGGCCAACTGGCTAGTTGGTCCAACCAGTCCATTTGGCCAACAGGCCATGGTCCAACCGGTCCATAGGACCAACAGGCCAGTTGGTCAAACCGGTCCATAGGACCAACAGGCCAGTTGGTCCAACCGGTCCATTTGGCCAACAGGCCAGTTGGTCAAACCGGTCCATAGGAACAACAGGCCAGTTGGTCCAATCGGTCCATAGTACCAACAGACCAGTTGGTCCAACCGGTCCATAGGACCAACATGCCAGTTGGTCCAATCGGTCCATAGGACCAACAGGCCAGTTGGTCCAATCGGTCCATAGGACCAACAGGCAAGTTGGTCCAACCGGTCCATAGGACCAACATGCCAGTTGGTCCAACCGGTCCATAGGACCAACAGGCCAGTTGGTCCAACCGGTCCATAGTACCAACAGGCCAGTTGGACCAACCGGTCCATAGGACGAACAGGCCAGTTGGTCCAATCGGTCCATAGGACGAACAGGCCAGTTGGTACAACCGGTCCATAGGACCAACATGCCAGTTGGTCCAACCGGTCCATAGGACCAACAGGCCAGTTGGTCCAACCGGTCCATAGTACCAACAGGCCAGTTGGTCCAACCGGTCCATAGGACCAACAGACCAGTTGGTCCAACCGGTCCATAGGACCAACATGCCAGTTGGTCCAATCGGTCCATAGGACCAACAGGCCAGTTGGTCCAACCGGTCCATAGGACCAACAGACCAGTTGGTCCAACCGGTCCATAGGACCAACATGCCAGTTGGTCCAATCGGTCCATAGGACCAACAGGCCAGTTGGTCCAACCGGTCCATAGGACCAACAGACCAGTTGGTCCAACCGGTCCATAGGACCAACATGCCAGTTGGTCCAATCGGTCCATAGGACCAACAGGCCAGTTGGTCCAACCGGTCCATAGGACCAACAGGCAAGTTGGTCCAACCGGTCCATAAGACCAACATGCCAGTTGGTCCAACCGGTCCATAGGACCAACAGGCCAGTTGGTCCAACCGGTCCATAGTACCAACAGGCCAGTTGGACCAACCGGTCCATAGGAACAACAGGCCAGTTGGTCCAAATGGTCCATAGGACGAACAGGCCAGTTGGTCCAACCGGTCCATAGGACCAACAGGCCAGTTGGTCCAACCGGTCCATAGGACCAACAGGCAAGTTGGTCCAACCGGTCCATAGGACCAACATGCTAGTTGGTCCAACCGGTCCATAGGACCAAAAGGCCAGTTGGTCCAACCGGTCCATAGGACCAACAGGCCAGTTGGTCCAACCGGTCCATACGACCAACAGGCCAGTTGCTCCAACCGGTCCATTCGGCCAACAGGCCAGTTGGTCCAACAGGTCCATTCGGCCAACTGGCTAGTTGGTCCAACCAGTCCATTTGGCCAACAGGCCATGGTCCAACCGGTCCATAGGACCAACAGGCCAGTTGGTCAAACCGGTCCATAGGACCAACAGGCCAGTTGGTCCAACCGGTCCATTTGGCCAACCGGCCATGGTCCAACCGGTCCATAGGACCAACAGGCCAGTTGGTCAAACCGGTCCATAGGAACAACAGGCCAGTTGGTCCAAATGGTCCATAGGACTAACAGGCCAGTTGGTCCAACCGGTCCATAGTACCAACAGGCCAGTTGGTCCAACCGGTCCATAGTACCAACAGACCAGTTGGTCCAACCGGTCCATAGGACCAACAGGCCAGTTGGTCCAACCGGTCCATAGGACCAACATGCCAGTTGGTCCAACCGGTCCATAGGACCAACAGGCCAGTTGGTCCAACCGGTCCATAGGAACAACAGGCCAGTTGGTCCAACCGGTCCATAGGACCAACAGGCAAGTTGGTCCAACCGGTCCATAGGACCAACAGGCCAGTTGGTCCAACCGGTCCATAGTACCAACAGGCCAGTTGGTCCAACCGGTCCATAGGACCAACAGACCAGTTGGTCCAACCGGTCCATAGGACCAACATGCCAGTTGGTCCAATCGGTCCATAGGACCAACAGGCCAGTTGGTCCAACCGGTCCATAGGACCAACAGGCAAGTTGGTCCAACCGGTCCATAGGACCAACATGCCAGTTGGTCTAACCGGTCCATAGGACCAACAGGCCAGTTGGTCCAACCGGTCCATAGTACCAACAGGCCAGTTGGACCAACCGGTCCATAGGACGATCAGGCCAGTTGGTCCAACCGGTCCATAGGACTAACAGGCCAGTTGGTCCAACCGGTCCATAGGACCAACATGCCAGTTGGTCCAACCGGTCCATAGGACCAACAGGCCAGTTGGTCCAACCGGTCCATAGTACCAACAAGCCAGTTGGTCCAACCGATCCATAGGACCAACAGACCAGTTGGTCCAACCGGTCCATAGGACCAACATGCCAGTTGGTCCAATCGGTCCATAGGACCAACAGGCCAGTTGGTCCAACCGGTCCATAGGACCAACAGACCAGTTGGTCCAACCGGTCCATAGGACCAACATGCCAGTTGGTCCAATCGGTCCATAGGACCAATAGGCCAGTTGGTCCAACCGGTCCATAGGACCAACAGGCAAGTTGGTCCAACCGGTCCATAAGACCAACATGCCAGTTGGTCCAACCGGTCCATAGGACCAACAGGCCAGTTGGTCCAACCGGTCCATAGTACCAACAGGCCAGTTGGACCAACCGGTCCATAGGAACAACAGGCCAGTTGGTCCAAATGGTCCATAGGACGAACAGGCCAGTTGGTCCAACCGGTCCATAGGACCAACAGGCCAGTTGGTCCAACCGGTCCATAGGACCAACAGGCCAGTTGGTCCAACCGGTCCATAGGACCAACAGACCAGTTGGTCCAACCGGTCCATAGGACCAACATGCCAGTTGGTCCAATCGGTCCATAGGACCAACAGGCCAGTTGGTCCAACCGGTCCATAGGACCAACAGACCAGTTGGTCCAACCGGTCCATAGGACCAACATGCCAGTTGGTCCAATCGGTCCATAGGACCAACAGGCCAGTTGGTCCAACCGGTCCATAGGACCAACAGGCAAGTTGGTCCAACCGGTCCATATGACCAACATGCCAGTTGGTCCAACCGGTCCATAGGACCAACAGGCCAGTTGGTCCAACCGGTCCATAGTACCAACAGGCCAGTTGGACCAACCGGTCCATAGGAACAACAGGCCAGTTGGTCCAAATGGTCCATAGGACGAACAGGCCAGTTGGTCCAACCGGTCCATAGGACCAACAGGCCAGTTGGTCCAACCGGTCCATAGGACCAACAGGCAAGTTGGTCCAACCGGTCCATAGGACCAACATGCTAGTTGGTCCAACCGGTCCATAGGACCAAAAGGCCAGTTGGTCCAACCGGTCCATAGGACCAACAGGCCAGTTGGTCCAACCGGTCCATACGACCAACAGGCCAGTTGCTCCAACCGGTCCATTCGGCCAACAGGCCAGTTGGTCCAACCGGTCCATAGGACCAACAGGCCAGTTGGTCCAACAGGTCCATTCGGCCAACTGGCTAGTTGGTCCAACCAGTCCATTTGGCCAACAGGCCATGGTCCAACCGGTCCATAGGACCAACAGGCCAGTTGGTCCAACCGGTCCATAGGACCAGCAGGCCAGTTGGTCCAACCGGTCCATTTGGCCAACCGGCCATGGTCCAACCGGTCCATAGGACCAACAGGCCAGTTGGTCAAACCGGTCCATAGGAACAACAGGCCAGTTGGTCCAAATGGTCCATAGGACTAACAGGCCAGTTGGTCCAACCGGTCCATAGTACCAACAGGCCAGTTGGTCCAACCGGTCCATAGTACCAACAGACCAGTTGGTCCAACCGGTCCATAGGACCAACAGGCCAGTTGGTCCAACCGGTCCATAGGACCAACATGCCAGTTGGTCCAACCGGTCCATAGTACCAACAGGCCAGTTGGTCCAACCGGTCCATAGGACCAACAGGCCAGTTGGTCCAACAGGTCCATTCGGCCAACTGGCTAGTTGGTCCAACCAGTCCATTTGGCCAACAGGCCATGGTCCAACCGGTCCATAGGACCAACAGGCCAGTTGGTCAAACCGGTCCATAGGACCAACAGGCCAGTTGGTCCAACCGGTCCATTTGGCCAACAGGCCATGGTCCAACCGGTCCATAGGACCAACAGGCCAGTTGGTCAAACCGGTCCATAGGAACAACAGGCCAGTTGGTCCAATCGGTCCATAGTACCAACAGACCAGTTGGTCCAACCGGTCCATAGGACCAACATGCCAGTTGGTCCAATCGGTCCATAGGACCAACAGGCCAGTTGGTCCAATCGGTCCATAGGACCAACAGGCAAGTTGGTCCAACCGGTCCATAGGACCAACATGCCAGTTGGTCCAACCGGTCCATAGGACCAACAGGCCAGTTGGTCCAACCGGTCCATAGTACCAACAGGCCAGTTGGACCAACCGGTCCATAGGACGAACAGGCCAGTTGGTCCAATCGGTCCATAGGACGAACAGGCCAGTTGGTACAACCGGTCCATAGGACCAACATGCCAGTTGGTCCAACCGGTCCATAGGACCAACAGGCCAGTTGGTCCAACCGGTCCATAGTACCAACAGGCCAGTTGGTCCAACCGGTCCATAGGACCAACAGACCAGTTGGTCCAACCGGTCCATAGGACCAACATGCCAGTTGGTCCAATCGGTCCATAGGACCAACAGGCCAGTTGGTCCAACCGGTCCATAGGACCAACAGACCAGTTGGTCCAACCGGTCCATAGGACCAACATGCCAGTTGGTCCAATCGGTCCATAGGACCAACAGACCAGTTGGTCCAACCGGTCCATAGGACCAACATGCCAGTTGGTCCAATCGGTCCATAGGACCAACAGGCCAGTTGGTCCAATCGGTCCATAGGACCAATAGGCAAGTTGGTCCAACCGGTCCATAGGACCAACAGGCCAGTTGGTCCAACCGGTCCATAGGACCAACAGGCCAGTTGGTCCAATCGGTCCATAGGACCAACAGGCCAGTTGGTCCAGCCGGTCCATAGGACCAACATGCCAGTTGGTCCAACCGGTCCATAGGACCAACAGGCCAGTTGGTCCAACCGGTCCATAGGACCAACAGGCCAGTTGGTCCAACCGGTCCATAGTACCAACAGGCCAGTTGGACCAACCGGTCCATAGGACTAACAGGCCAGTTGGTCCAACCGGTCCATAGTACCAACAGGCCAGTTGGACCAACCGGTCCATAGGACGAACAGGCCAGTTGGTCCAACCGGTCCATAGGACCAACATGCCAGTTGGTCCAACCGGTCCATAGGACCAACAGGCCAGTTGGTCCAACCGGTCCATAGGACGAACAGGCCAGTTGGTCCAACCGGTCCATAGGACCAACATGCCAGTTGGTCCAATCGGTCCATAGGACAAACAGGCCAGTTGGTCCAACCGGTCCATAGGACCAACATGCCAGTTGGTCCAACCAGTCCATAGGACCAACAGGCCAGTTGGTCCAACCGGTCCATAGGACCAACATGCCAGTTGGTCCAACCGGTCCATAGGACCAACAGGCCAGTTGGTCCAGCCGGTTCATAGGACCAACAGGCCAGTTGGTCCAGCCGGTCCATAGGACCAACATGCCAGTTGGTCCAACCGGTCCATAGGACCAACAGGCCAGTTGGTCCAACCGGTCCATTCGCCCAACAGGCCAGTTGGTCCAACCGGTCCATTCGCCCAACAGGCCAGTTGGTCCAACCAGTCCATAGGACCAAAAGGCGAGTTGGTCCAACCGGTCCATAGTACCAACAGGCCAGTTGGTCCAGCCGGTCCATAGGACCAACAGGCCAGTTGGTCCAACCGGTCCATAGTACCAACAGGCCAGTTGGACCAACCGGTCCATAGGACGAACAGGCCAGTTGGTCCAACCGGTCCATAGGACCAACATGCCAGTTGGTCCAATCGGTCCATAGGACGAATAGGCCAGTTGGTCCAACCGGTCCATAGGACCAACATGCCAGTTGGTCCAACCGGTCCATAGGACCAACAGGCCAGTTGGTCCAACCGGTCCATAGGACCAACTGCAGTTGGTCCAACCGGTCCATAGGACCAACAGGCCAGTTGGTCCAACCGGTCCATAGGACCAACATGCCAGTTGGTCCAACCAGTCCTTAGGACCAACAGGCCAGTTGGTCCAGCCGGTCCATAGGACCAACAGGCCAGTTGGTCTAGCCGGTCCATAGGACCAACATGCCAGTTGGTCCAACCGGTCCATAGGACCAACAGGCCAATTGGTCCAACCGGTCCATAGGACCAACAGGCCAGTTGGTCCAACCGGTCCATAGGACCAACATGCCAGTTGGTCCAACCGGTCCATAGGACCAACAGGCCAGTTGGTCCAGCCGGTCCATAGGACCAACAGGCCAGTTGGTCCAGCCGGTCCATAGGACCAACATGCCAGTTGGTCCAACCGGTCCATAGGACCAACAGGCCAGTTGGTCCAGCCGGTCCATAGGACCAACATGCCAGTTGGTCCAACCGGTCCATAGGACCAACAGGCCAGTTGGTCCAACCGGTCCATAGGACCAACATGCCAGTTGGTCCAACCAGTCCTTAGGACCAACAGGCCAGTTGGTCCAGCCGGTCCATAGGACCAACAGGCCAGTTGGTCCAGCCGGTCCATAGGACCAACATGCCAGTTGGTCCAACCGGTCCATAGGACCAACAGGCCAATTGGTCCAACCGGTCCATAGGACCAACAGGCCAGTTGGTCCAACCGGTCCATAGGACCAACATGCCAGTTGGTCCAACCAGTCCATAGGACCAACAGGCCAGTTGGGCCAGCCGGTCCATAGGACCAACAGGCCAGTTGGTCCAACCGGTCCATAGGACCAACATGCCAGTTGGTCCAGCCGGTCCATAGGACCAACAGGCCAGTTGGTCCAGCCGGTCCATAGGACCAACATGCCAGTTGGTCCAACCGGTCCATAGGACCAACAGGCCAGTTGGTCCAGCCGGTCCATAGGACCAACATGCCAGTTGGTCCAACCGGTCCATAGTACCAACAGGCCAGTTGGACCAACCGGTCCATAGGACGAACAGGCCAGTTGGTCCAACCGGTCCATAGGACCAACATGCCAGTTGGTCCAATCGGTCCATAGGACGAATAGGCCAGTTGGTCCAACCGGTCCATAGGACCAACATGCCAGTTGGTCCAACCGGTCCATAGGACCAACAGGCCAGTTGGTCCAACCGGTCCATAGGACCAACTGCAGTTGGTCCAACCGGTCCATAGGACCAACAGGCCAGTTGGTCCAACCGGTCCATAGGACCAACATGCCAGTTGGTCCAACCAGTCCTTAGGACCAACAGGCCAGTTGGTCCAGCCGGTCCATAGGACCAACAGGCCAGTTGGTCTAGCCGGTCCATAGGACCAACATGCCAGTTGGTCCAACCGGTCCATAGGACCAACAGGCCAATTGGTCCAACCGGTCCATAGGACCAACAGGCCAGTTGGTCCAACCGGTCCATAGGACCAACATGCCAGTTGGTCCAACCGGTCCATAGGACCAACAGGCCAGTTGGTCCAGCCGGTCCATAGGACCAACAGGCCAGTTGGTCCAGCCGGTCCATAGGACCAACATGCCAGTTGGTCCAACCGGTCCATAGGACCAACAGGCCAGTTGGTCCAGCCGGTCCATAGGACCAACATGCCAGTTGGTCCAACCGGTCCATAGGACCAACAGGCCAGTTGGTCCAACCGGTCCATAGGACCAACATGCCAGTTGGTCCAACCAGTCCTTAGGACCAACAGGCCAGTTGGTCCAGCCGGTCCATAGGACCAACAGGCCAGTTGGTCCAGCCGGTCCATAGGACCAACATGCCAGTTGGTCCAACCGGTCCATAGGACCAACATGCCAGTTGGTCCAACCAGTCCATAGGACCAACAGGCCAGTTGGGCCAGCCGGTCCATAGGACCAACAGGCCAGTTGGTCCAACCGGTCCATAGGACCAACATGCCAGTTGGTCCAGCCGGTCCATAGGACCAACAGGCCAGTTGGTCCAGCCGGTCCATAGGACCAACATGCCAGTTGGTCCAACCGGTCCATAGGACCAACAGGCCAGTTGGTCCAGCCGGTCCATAGGACCAACATGCCAGTTGGTCCAACCGGTCCATAGGACCAACAGGCCACTTGGTCCAACCGGTCCATAGGACCAACAGGCCAGTTGGTCCAACCGGTCCATAGGACCAACAGGCCAGTTGGTCCAATCGGTCAATAGGACCAACAGGCCAGTTGGTCCAACCGGTCCATAGGACCAACAGGCCAGTTGGTCCAACCGGTCCATAGGACCAACAGGCCAGTTGGTCCAACCGGTCCATAGGACCAACAGGCCAGTTGGTCCAACCGGTCCATAGGACCAACAGGCCAGTTGGTCCAACCGGTCCATAGGACCAACAGGCCAGTTGGTCCAACCGGTCCATAGGACCAACATGCCAGTTGGTCCAACCGGTCCATAGGACCAACAGGCCAGTTGGTCCAACCGGTCCATAGGACCAACATGCCAGTTGGTCCAACCGGTCCATAGGACCAACAGGCCAGTTGGTCCAACCGGTCCATAGGACCAACAGGCCAGTTGGTCCAACCGGTCCATAGGACCAACAGGCCAGTTGGTCCAACCGGTCCATAGGACCAACAGGCCAGTTGGTCCAACCGGTCCATAGGACCAACAGGCCAGTTGGTCCAACCGGTCCATAGGACCAACAGGCCAGTTGGTCCAACCGGTCCATAGGACCAACAGGCCAGTTGGTCCAACCGGTCCATAGGACCAACAGGCCAGTTGGTCCAACCGGCCCATAGGACCAACAGGCCAGTTGGTCCAACCGGTCCATAGGACCAACAGGCCAGTTGGTCCAACCGGTCCATAGGACCAACAGGCCAGTTGGTCCAACCGGTCCATAGGACCAACAGGCCAGTTGGTCCAACCGGTCCATAGGACCAACAGGCCAGTTGGTCCAACCGGTCCATAGGACCAACAGGCCAGTTGGTCCAACCGGTCCATAGGACCAACAGGCCAGTTGGTCCAACCGGTCCATAGGACCAACAGGCCAGTTGGTCCAACCGGTCCATAGGACCAACAGGCCAGTTGGTCCAACCGGTCCAGAGGACCAACAGGCCAGTTGGTCCAACCGGTCCATAGGACCAACAGGCCAGTTGGTCCAACCGGTCCATAGGACCAACAGGCCAGTTGGTCCAATCGGTCCATAGGACGAACAGGCCAGTTGGTCCAACCGGTCCATAGGACCAACATGCCAGTTGGTCCAACCGGTCCATAGTACCAACAGGCCAGTTGGACCAACCGGTCCATAGGACGAACAGGCCAGTTGGTCCAACCGGTCCATAGGACCAACATGCCAGTTGGTCCAATCGGTCCATAGGACGAATAGGCCAGTTGGTCCAACCGGTCCATAGGACCAACATGCCAGTTGGTCCAACCGGTCCATAGGACCAACAGGCCAGTTGGTCCAACCGGTCCATAGGACCAACATGCCAGTTGGTCCAACCAGTCCTTAGGACCAACAGGCCAGTTGGTCCAGCCGGTCCATAGGACCAACAGGCCAGTTGGTCCAACCGGTCCATAGGACCAACATGCCAGTTGGTCCAACCGGTCCATAGGACCAACAGGCCAATTGGTCCAACCGGTCCATAGGACGAACAGGCCAGTTGGTCCAACCGGTCCATAGGACCAACATGCCAGTTGGTCCAATCGGTCCATAGGACGAACAGGCCAGTTGGTCCAACCGGTCCATAGGACCAACATGCCAGTTGGTCCAACCGGTCCATAGTACCAACAGGCCAGTTGGACCAACCGGTCCATAGGACGAACAGGCGAGTTGGTCCAGCCGCTCCATATGACCAACAGGCCAGTTGGTCCAGCCGGTCCATAGGACCAACAGGCCAGTTGGTCCAACCGGTCCATAGTACCAACAGGCCAGTTGGACCAACCGGTCCATAGGACGAACAGGCCAGTTGGTCCAACCGGTCCATAGGACCAACATGCCAGTTGGTCCAATCGGTCCATAGGACGAACAGGCCAGTTGGTCCAACCGGTCCATAGGACCAACATGCCAGTTGGTCCAACCGGTCCATAGTACCAACAGGCCAGTTGGACCAACCGGTCCATAGGACGAACAGGCCAGTTGGTCCAACCGGTCCATAGGACCAACATGCCAGTTGGTCCAATCGGTCCATAGGACGAATAGGCCAGTTGGTCCAACCGGTCCATAGGACCAACAGGCCAGTTGGTCCAACCGGTCCATAGGACCAACAGGCCAGTTGGTCCAACCGGTCCATAGGACCAACAGGCCAGTTGGTCCAACCGGTCCATAGGACCAACACGCCAGTTGGTCCAACCGGTCCATAGGACCAACATGCCAGTTGGTCCAGCCGGTCCTTAGGACCAACAGGCCAGTTGGTCCTGCCGGTCCATAGGACCAACAGGCCAGTTGGTCCAGCCGGTCCATAGGACCAACATGCCAGTTGGTCCAACCGGTCCATAGGACCAACAGGCCAGTTGGTCCAGCCGGTCCATAGGACCAACATGCCAGTTGGTCCAACCGGTCCATAGGACCAACAGGCCAGTTGGTCCAGCCGGTCCATAGGACCAACATGCCAGTTGGTCCAACCGGTCCATAGGACCAACAGGCCAGTTGGTCCAACCGGTCCATAGGACCAACATGCCAGTTGGTCCAACCAGTCCATAGGACCAACAGGCCAGTTGGTCCAGCCGGTCCATAGGACCAACAGGCCAGTTGGTCCAGCCGGTCCATAGGACCAACATGCCAGTTGGTCCAACCGGTCCATAGGACCAACAGGCCAGTTGGTCCAACCGGTCCATAGGACCAACAGGCCAGTTGGTCCAACCGGTCCATAGGACCAACAGGCCAGTTGGTCCAGCCGGTCCATAGGACCAACATGCCAGTTGGTCCAACCGGTCCATAGTCCCAACAGGCCAGTTGGTCCAACCGGTCCATAGGCCCAACAGGCCAGTTGGTCCAACCGGTCCATAGGACCAACAGGCCAGTTGGTCCAACCGGTCCATAGGACCAACAGGCCAGTTGGTCCAACCGGTCCATAGGACCAACAGGCCAGTTGGTCCAACCGGTCCATAGTACCAACAGGCCAGTTGGACCAACCGGTCCATAGGACGAACAGGCCAGTTGGTCCAACCGGTCCATAGGACCAACAGGCCAGTTGGTCCAACCGGTCCATAGGCCCAACAGGCCAGTTGGTCCAACCGGTCCATAGGACCAACAGGCCAGTTGGTCCAACCGGTCCATAGGACCAACAGGCCAGTTGGTCCAACCGGTCCATAGGACCAACAGGCCAGTTGGTCCAACCGGTCCATAGGACCAACAGGCCAGTTGGTCCAACCGGTCCATAGGACCAACATGCCAGTTGGTCCAACCAGTCCATAGGACCAACAGGCCAGTTGGTCCAGCCGGTCCATAGGACCAACAGGCCAGTTGGTCCAGCCGGTCCATAGGACCAACATGCCAGTTGGTCCAACCGGTCCATAGGACCAACAGGCCAGTTGGTCCAACCGGTCCATAGGACCAACAGGCCAGTTGGTCCAACCGGTCCATAGGACCAACAGGCCAGTTGGTCCAACCGGTCCATAGGACCAACAGGCCAGTTGGTCCAACCGGTCCATAGGACCAACAGGCCAGTTGGTCCAACCGGTCCATAGGACCAACAGGCCAGTTGGTCCAACCGGTCCATAGGACCAACAGGCCAGTTGGTCCAACCGGTCCATAGGACCAACAGGCCAGTTGGTCCAACCGGTCAATAGGACCAACAGGCCAGTTGGTCCAACCGGTCCATAGGACCAACAGGCCAGTTGGTCCAACCGGTCCATAGGACCAACAGGCCAGTTGGTCCAACCGGTCCATAGGACCAACAGGCCAGTTGGTCCAACCGGTCCATAGGACCAACAGGCCAGTTGGTCCAACCGGTCCATAGGACCAACAGGCCAGTTGGTCCAACCGGTCCATAGGACCAACAGGCCAGTTGGTCCAACCGGTCCATAGGACCAACAGGCCAGTTGGTCCAACCGGTCCATAGGACCAACAGGCCAGTTGGTCCAACCGGTCCATTCGCCCAACAGGCCAGTTGGTCCAACCGGTCCATAGGACCAACAGGCCAGTTGGTCCAACCGGTCCATAGGACCAACAGGCCAGTTGGTCCAACCGGTCCATAGGACCAACAGGCCAGTTGGTCCAACCGGTCCATAGGGCCAACAGGCCAGTTGGTCCAACCGGTCCATTCGCCCAACAGGCCAGTTGGTCCAACCGGTCCATAGGACCAACAGGCCAGTTGGTCCAACAGGTCCATAGGACCAACATGCCAGTTGGTCCAACCGGTCCATAGGACCAACAGGCCAGTTGGTCCAACCGGTCCATAGGACCAACAGGCCAGTTGGTCCAACCGGTCCATAGGGCCCACAGGCCAGTTGGTCCAACCGGTCCATTCGCCCAACAGGCCAGTTGGTCCAACCGGTCCATAGGACCAACAGGCCAGTTGGTCCAACCGGTCCATTCGCCCAACAGGCCAGTTGGTCCAACCGGTCCATAGGACCAACAGGCCAGTTGGTCCAACCGGTCCATAGGACCAACAGGCCAGTTGGTCCAACCGGTCCATAGGACCAACAGGCCAGTTGGTCCAATCGGTCCATAGGACGAACAGGCCAGTTGGTCCAACCGGTCCATAGGACCAACCGGTCCATAGTACCAACAGGCCAGTTGGTCCAATCGGTCCATAGCACCAACATGCCAGTTGGTCCAATCGGTCCATAGCACCAACATGCCTGTTGGTCCAACCGGTCCATAGCACCAACAGGCCAGTTGGTCCAACCGGTCCACAGGACCAACAGGCCAGTTGGTCCAACCGGTCCACAGGACCAACAGGCCAGTTGGTCCAACCGGTCCATAGGACCAACAGGCCAGTTGGTCCAACCGGTCCATAGGACCAACAGGCCAGTTGGTCCAACCGGTCCATAGGACCAACAGGCCAGTTGGTCCAACCTGTCCATAGGACCAACAGGCCAGTTGGTCCAACCGGTCCACAGGACCAACAGGCCAGTTGGTCCAACCGGTCCACAGGACCAACAGGCCAGTTGGTCCAACCGGTCCACAGGACCAACAGGCCAGTTGGTCCAACCGGTCCACAGGACCAACAGGCCAGTTGGTCCAACCGGTCCACAGGACCAACAGGCCAGTTGGTCCAACCGGTCCACAGGACCAACAGGCCAGTTGGTCCAACCGGTCCACAGGACCAACAGGCCAGTTGGTCCAACCGGTCCACAGGACCAACAGGCCAGTTGGTCCAATCGGTCCGCAGGACCAACAGGCCAGTTGGTCCAATCGGTCCATAGGACCAACTGGCCAGTTGGTCCAACCGGTCCATAGGACCAACAGGCCAGTTGGTCCAACCGGTCCATTCGCCCAACAGGCCAGTTGGTCCAACCGGTCCATAGGACCAACACGCCAGTTGGTCCAACCAGTCCATAGGACCAACAGGCCAGTTGGTCCAACCGGCCCATAGGACCAACAGGCCAGTTGGTCCAACCGGTCCATAGGACCAACAGGCCAGTTGGTCCAACCGGTCCATAGGACCAACAGGCCAGTTGGTCCAACCGGTCCATAGGACCAACAGGCCAGTTGGTCCAACCGGTCCATAGGACCAACAGGCCAGTTGGTCCAACCGGTCAATAGGACCAACAGGCCAGTTGGTCCAACCGGTCCATAGGACCAACAGGCCAGTTGGTCCAACCGGTCCATAGGACCAACAGGCCAGTTGGTCCAACCGGTCCATAGGACCAACAGGCCAGTTGGTCCAACCTGTCCATAGGACCAACAGGCCAGTTGGTCCAACCGGTCCACAGGACCAACAGGCCAGTTGGTCCAACCGGTCCACAGGACCAACAGGCCAGTTGGTCCAACCGGTCCACAGGACCAACAGGCCAGTTGGTCCAACCGGTCCACAGGACCAACAGGCCAGTTGGTCCAACCGGTCCACAGGACCAACAGGCCAGTTGGTCCAACCGGTCCACAGGACCAACAGGCCAGTTGGTCCAACCGGTCCACAGGACCAACAGGCCAGTTGGTCCAACCGGTCCACAGGACCAACAGGCCAGTTGGTCCAACCGGTCCACAGGACCAACAGGCCAGTTGGTCCAATCGGTCCGCAGGACCAACAGGCCAGTTGGTCCAATCGGTCCATAGGACCAACTGGCCAGTTGGTCCAACCGGTCCATAGGACCAACAGGCCAGTTGGTCCAACCGGTCCATTCGCCCAACAGGCCAGTTGGTCCAACCGGTCCATAGGACCAACACGCCAGTTGGTCCAACCGGTCCATAGGACCAACAGGCCAGTTGGTCCAACCGGCCCATAGGACCAACAGGCCAGTTGGTCCAACCGGTCCATAGGACCAACAGGCCAGTTGGTCCAACCGGTCCATAGGACCAACAGGCCAGTTGGTCCAACCGGTCCATAGGACCAACAGGCCAGTTGGTCCAACCGGTCCATAGGACCAACAGGCCAGTTGGTCCAACCGGTCAATAGGACCAACAGGCCAGTTGGTCCAACCGGTCCATAGGACCAACAGGCCAGTTGGTCCAACCGGTCCATAGGACCAACAGGCGAGTTGGTCCAACCGGTCCATAGGACCAACAGGCCAGTTGGTCCAACCGGTCCATAGGACCAACAGGCCAGTTGGTCCAACCGGTCCATAGGACCAACATGCCAGTTGGTCCAGCCGGTCCATAGGACCAACAGGCCAGTTGGTCCAATCGGTCCATAGGACCAACAGGCCAGTTGGTCCAACCGGTCCATAGGGCCAACAGGCCAGTTGGTCCAACCGGTCCATAGGACCAACAGGGAAGTTGGTCCAACCGGTCCATAGGACCAACAGGCGAGTTGGTCCAACCGGTCCATAGGACCAACATGCCAGTTGGTCCAACCGGTCCATAGGACCAACAGGCGAGTTGGTCCAACCGGTCCATAGTACCAACAGGCCAGTTGGTCCAACCGGTCCATAGGACCAACAGGCCAGTTGGTCCAACCGGTCCATAGGACCAACATGCCAGTTGGTCCAATCGGTCCGTAGGACCAGCAGGCCAGTTGGTCCAACCGGTCCATAGGACCAACAGGCCAGTTGGTCCAACCGGTCCATAGCACCAACATGCCAGTTGGTCCAACCGGTCCATAGGACCAACAGGCCAGTTGGTCCAACCGGTCCATAGGACCAACAGGCCAGTTGGTCCAACCGGTCCATAGGACCAACAGGCCAGTTTATCCAACTGGTCCATAGGACCAACATGCCAGTTGGTCCAATCGGTCCATAGGATGAGCAGGCCAGTTGGTCCAACCGGTCCATAGGACCAACATGCTAGTTCGTCCAACCGGTCCATAGGACCGACAGGCCAGTTGGTCCAACCGGTCCATAGTCCCAACAGGCCAGTTGGTCCAACCGGTCCATTTGGCCAACAGGCCAGTTGGTCCAACCGGTCCATAGGACCAATAGGCCAGTTGGTCCAATCGGTCCATAGCACCAACATGCCAGTTGGTCCAACCGGTCCATAGGACCAACAGGCCAGTTGGTCCAACCGGTCCATAGCACCAACATGCCAGTTGGTCCAACCGGTCCATAGGACCAACAGGCCAGTTGGTCCAACCGGTCCATAGGACCAACATGCTAGTTGGTCCAATCGGTCCATAGGACCAACATGCCAGTTGGTCCAACCGGTCCATAGGACCAACAGGCCAGTTGGTCCAACCGGTCCATAGTACCAACAGGCCAGTTGGTCCAACCGGTCCATTTGGCCAACAGGCCAGTTGGTCCAACCGGTCCATAGGACCAATAGGCCAGTTGGTCCAATCGGTCCATAGCACCAACATGCCAGTTGGTCCAACCGGTCCATAGGACCAACAGGCCAGTTGGTCCAACCGGTCCATAGCACCAACATGCCAGTTGGTCCAACCGGTCCATAGGACGAACAGGCCAGTTGGTCCAACCGGTCCATAGGACCAACAGGCCAGTTGGTCCAACCGGTCCATAGGACCAACAGGCCAGTTGGTCCAACTGGTCCATAGGACCAACATGCCAGTTGGTCCAATCGGTCCATAGGATGAGCAGGCCAGTTGGTCCAACCGGTCCATAGGACCAACATGCTAGTTCGTCCAACCGGTCCATAGGACCGACAGGCCAGTTGGTCCAACCGGTCCATAGTCCCAACAGGCCAGTTGGTCCAACCGGTCCATTTGGCCAACAGGCCAGTTGGTCCAACCGGTCCATAGGACCAACATGCCAGTTGGTCCAACCGGTCCATAGGACCAACAGGCGAGTTGGTCCAACCGGTCCATAGTACCAACAGGCCAGTTGGTCCAACCGGTCCATAGGACCAACAGGCCAGTTGGTCCAACCGGTCCATAGGACCAACATGCCAGTTGGTCCAATCGGTCCGTAGGACCAGCAGGCCAGTTGGTCCAACCGGTCCATAGGACCAACAGGCCAGTTGGTCCAACCGGTCCATAGCACCAACATGCCAGTTGGTCCAACCGGTCCATAGGACCAACAGGCCAGTTGGTCCAACCGGTCCATAGGACCAACAGGCCAGTTGGTCCAACCGGTCCATAGGACCAACAGGCCAGTTGGTCCAACCGGTCCATAGGACCAACAGGCCAGTTGGTCCAATCGGTCCATAGGATGAGCAGGCCAGTTGGTCCAACCGGTCCATAGGACCAACATGCTAGTTCGTCCAACCGGTCCATAGGACCGACAGGCCAGTTGGTCCAACCGGTCCATAGTCCCAACAGGCCAGTTGGTCCAACCGGTCCATTTGGCCAACAGGCCAGTTGGTCCAACCGGTCCATAGGACCAACATGCCAGTTGGTCCAACCGGTCCATTCGGCCGACAGGCCAGTTGGTCCAACCGGTCCATAGGACCAACATGCCAGTTGGTCCAACCGGTCCATAGGACCAACATGCCAGTTGGTCCAACCGGTCCATAGGACCAACAGGCCAGTTGGTCCAACCGGTCCATAGTACCAACAGGCCAGTTGGTCCAACCGGTCCATAGGACCAACAGGCCAGTTGGTCCAACCGGTCCATAGGACCAACAGGCCAGTTGGTCCAACTGGTCCATAGGACCAACAGGCAAGTTGGTCCAACCGGTCCATAGGACCAACATGCCAGTTGGTCCAACCGGTCCATAGGACCAACAGGCGAGTTGGTCCAACCGGTCCATAGTACCAACAGGCCACTTGGTCCAACCGGTCCATAGGACCAACAGGCCAGTTGGTCCAACCGGTCCATAGGACCAACATGCCAGTTGGTCCAATCGGTCCATAGGACCAGCAGGCCAGTTGGTCCAACCGGTCCATAGGACCAACATGCTAGTTGGTCCAACCGGTCCATAGGACCAACAGGCCAGTTGGTCCAGCCGGTCCATAGGACCAACAGGCCAGTTGGTCCAATCAGTCCATAGGACCAACATACCAGTTGGTCCAACCGGTCCATAGGACCAACAGGCCAGTTGGTCCAACCGGTCCATAGTCCCAACAGGCCAGTTGGTCCAACCGGTCCATTTCGCCAACAGGCCAGTTGGTCCAACCAGTCCATAGGACCAATAGGCCAGTTGGTCCAATCGGTCCATAGCACCAACATGCCAGTTGGTCCAATCGGTCCATAGCACCAACATGCCAGTTGGTCCACTCGGTCCATAGGACCAACAGGCCAGTTGGTCCAACCGGTCCATAGCACCAACAGGCCAGTTGGTCCAACCGGTCCACAGGACCAACAGGCCAGTTGGTCCAACCGGTCCACAGGACCAACAGGCCAGTTGGTCCAACCGGTCCACAGGACCAACAGGGCAGTTGGTCCAACCGGTCCACAGGACCAACAGGCCAGTTGGTCCAACCGGTCCATAGGACCGACTGGCCAGTTGGTCCAACCGGTCCATAGGACCGACAGGCCAGTTGGTCCAACCGATCCATAGGACCAACAGGCCAGTTGGTCCAACCGGTCCATTCGGCCAACAGGCCAGTTGGTCCAACCGGTCCATAGGGCCAACAGGCCAGTTGGTCCAACCGATCCATAGGACCAACATGCCAGTTGGTCCAACCGGTCCATAGGACCAACAGGCCAGTTGGTCCAACCGGTCCATAGGACCAACAGGCCAGTTGGTCCAACCGGTCCATAGGACCAACAGGCCAGTTGGTCCAACCGGTCCATAGGACCAACAGGCAAGTTGGTCCAACCGCTCCATAGGACCAACAGGCCAGTTGGTCCAACCGGTCCATAGGACCAACAGGCCAGTTGGTCCAACCGGTCCATAGTACCAACAAGCCTGTTGGTCCAACCGGTCCATAGGACCAACAGGCCAGTTGGTCCAACCGGTCCATAGGACCAACAGGCCAGTTGGTCCAACCGGTCCATAGGACCAACAGGCCAGTTGGTCCAACCGGTCCATAGGACCAACAGGCAAGTTGGTCCAACCGGTCCATAGGACCAACATGCCAGTTGGTCCAACCGGTCCATAGGACCAACAGGCGAGTTGGTCCAACCGGTCCATAGGACCAACATGCCAGTTGGTCCAACCGGTCCATAGGACCAACAGGCCAATTGGTCCATGCGGTCCATAGGACCAACATGCCAGTTGGTCCAACCGGTCCATAGGACCAACAGGCCAGTTGGTCCAACCGGTCCATAGTACCAACAGGCCAGTTGGTCCAACCGGTCCATTTGGCCAACAGGCCAGTTGGTCCAATCGGTCCATAGGACCAAGAGGCCAGTTGGTCCAATCGGTCCATAGGACCAACAGGCCAGTTGGTCCAACCGGTCCATAGGACCAACAGGCCAGTTGGTCCAACCGGTCCAGAGGACCAACAGGCCAGTTGGTCCAACCGGTCCACAGGACCAACAGGCCAGTTGGTCCAACCGGTCCACAGGACCAACAGGCCAGTTGGTCCAACCGGTCCACAGGACCAACAGGCCAGTTGGTCCAACCGGTCCATAGGACCGACTGGCCAGTTGGTCCAACCGGTCCATAGGACCGACAGGCCAGTTGGTCCAACCCGGTCCATAGGACCAACAGGCCAGTTGGTCCAACCGATCTATAGGAACAACACGTCAGTTGGTCCAACAGGTCCATTGGAACAACAGGCCAGTTGCTCCAACCGGTCCATAGGACCGACAGGCCAGTTGGTCCAACCGGTCCATAGGACCAACATGCCAGTTGGTCCAACCGGTCCATAGGACCAACATGCCAGTTGGTCCAACCGGTCCATAGGACCAACAGGCCAGTTGGTCCAACCGGTCCATAGTACCAACAGGCCAGTTGGTCCAACCGGTCCATAGGACCAACAGGCCAGTTGGTCCAACCGGTCCATAGGACCAACAGGCCAGTTGGTCCAACCGGTCCATAGGACCAACAGGCAAGTTGGTCCAACCGGTCCATAGGACCAACATGCCAGTTGGTCCAACCGGTCCATAGGACCAACAGGCGAGTTGGTCCAACCGGTCCATAGTACCAACAGGCCAGTTGGTCCAACCGGTCCATAGGACCAACAGGCCAGTTGGTCCAACCGGTCCATAGGACCAACATGCCAGTTGGTCCAATCGGTCCATAGGACCAGCAGGCCAGTTGGTCCAACCGGTCCATAGGACCAACATGCTAGTTGGTCCAACCGGTCTATTCGGCCAACAGGCCAGTTGGTCCAACCGGTCCATAGGGCCAACAGGCCAGTTGGTCCAACCGATCCATAGGACCAACATGCCAGTTGGTCCAACCGGTCCATAGGACCAACAGGCCAGTTGGTCCAACCGGTCCATAGGACCAACAGGCCAGTTGGTCCAACCGGTCCATAGGACCAACAGGCCAGTTGGTCCAACCGGTCCATAGGACCAACAGGCAAGTTGGTCCAACCGCTCCATAGGACCAACAGGCCAGTTGGTCCAACCGGTCCATAGGACCAACAGGCCAGTTGGTCCAACCGGTCCATAGTACCAACAGGCCAGTTGGTCCAACCGGTCCATAGGACCAACAGGCCAGTTGGTCCAACCGGTCCATAGGACCAACAGGCAAGTTGGTCCAACCGGTCCATAGGACCAACATGCCAGTTGGTCCAACCGGTCCATAGGACCAACAGGCCAGTTGGTCCAACCGGTCCATAGGACCAACATGCCAGTTGGTCCAACCGGTCCATAGGACCAACAGGCCAGTTGGTCCAACCGGTCCATAGGACCAACAGGCCAGTTGGTCCAATCGGTCCATAGGACCAACAGGCCAGTTGGTCCAACCGGTCCATAGGACCAACAGGCCAGTTGGTCCAACCGGTCCATAGGACCAACAGGACAGTTGGTCCAACCGGTCCATAGGACCAACAAGCCAGTTGGTCCAACCGGTCCATAGGACCAACAGGTTAGTTGGTCCAACCGGTCCATAGGACCAACGGGCCAGTTGGTCCAACCGGTCCATAGTACCAACAGGCCAGTTGGTCCAACCGGTCCATAGGACCAACAGGCCAGTTGGTCCAACCGGTCCATAGTACCAACAGGCCAGTTGGTCCAACCGGTCCATAGGACCAACAGGCCAGTTGGTCCAACCGGTCCATAGGACCAACATGCCAGTTGGTCCAACCGGTCCATAGGACCAACAGGCCAGTTGGTCCAACTGGTCCATAGGACCAACAGGCCAGTTGGTCCAACCGGTCCATAGGACCAACAGGCCAGTTGGTCCAACCGGTCCATAGGACCAACATGCCAGTTGGTCCAACTGGTCCATAGGTCCAACAGGCCAGTTGGTCCAACCGGTCCATTCGGCCAACGGGCCAGTTGGTCCAACCGGTCCATAGGACCAACAGGCCAGTTGGTCCAACCGGTCCATAGGACCAACAGGCCAGTTGGTCCAGCCGGTCCATAGGACCAACATGCCAGTTGGTCCAATCGGTCCATAGGACCAGCAGGCCAGTTGGTCCAACCGGTCCATAGGACCAACAGGCCAGTTGGTCCAACCGGTCCATAGGACCAACAGGCCAGTTGGTCCAACCGGTCCATAGGACCAACAGGCGAGTTGGTCCAACCGGTCCATAGGACCAACAGGCGAGTTGGTCCAACCGGTCCATAGGACCAACAGGCCAGTTGGTCCAACCGGTCCATAGGACCAACATGCCAGTTGGTCCAATCGGTCCATAGGACCAGCAGGCCAGTTGGTCCAACCGGTCCATAGGACCAACATGCTAGTTGGTCCAACCGGTCCATAGGACCAACAGGCCAGTTGGTCCAACCGGTCCATAGGACCAACAGGCCAGTTGGTCCAATCGGTCCATAGGACCAACATGCCAGTTGGTCCAACCGGTCCATAGGACCAACAGGCCAGTTGGTCCAACCGGTCCATAGTACCAACAGGCCAGTTGGTCCAACCGGTCCATTTGGCCAACAGGCCAGTTGGTCCAACCGGTCCATAGGACCAATAGGCCAGTTGGTCCAATCGGTCCATAGCACCAACATGCCAGTTGGTCCAACCGGTCCATAGGACCAGCAGGCCAGTTGGTCCAGCCGGTCCATAGCACCAACATGCCAGTTGGTCCAACCGGTCCATAGGACCAACAGGCCAGTTGGACCAACCGGTCCATAGCACCAACAGGCCAGTTGGTCCAACCGGTCCATTGGACCAACAGGCCAGTTGGTCCAACCGGTCCATAGGACCAACAGGCCAGTTGGTCCAACCGGTCCATAGGACCAACAGGACAGTTGGTCCAACCGGTCCATAGGACCAACATGCCAGTTGGTCCAACCGGTCCATAGTACCAACAGGCCAGTTGGTCCAACCGGTCCACAGGACCAACAGGCCAGTTGGTCCAACCGGTCCACAGGACCAACAGGCCAGTTGGTCCAACCGGTCCATAGGACCGACTGGCCAGTTGGTCCAACCGGTCCATAGGACCGACAGGCCAGTTGGTCCAACCCGGTCCATAGGACCAACAGGCCAGTTGGTCCAACCGATCTATAGGAACAACACGTCAGTTGGTCCAACAGGTCCATTGGAACAACAGGCCAGTTGCTCCAACCGGTCCATAGGACCAACAGGCCAGTTGGTCCAACCGGTCCACAGGACCAACAGACCAGTTGGTCCAACCGGTCCACAGGACCAACAGGCCAGTTGGTCCAACCGGTCCACAGGACCAACAGGCCAGTTGGTCCAACCGGTCCACAGGACCGACAGGCCAGTTGGTCCAACCGGTCCACAGGACCGACAGGCCAGTTGGTCCAACCGGTCCATAGGACCGACTGGCCAGTTGGTCCAACCGGTCCATAGGACCGACTGGCCAGTTGGTCCAACCGGTCCATAGGACCGACTGGCCAGTTGGTCCAACCCGGTCCATAGGACCAACAGGCCAGTTGGTCCAACCGATCTATAGGAACAACACGTCAGTTGGTCCAACAGGTCCATTGGAACAACAGGCCAGTTGCTCCAACCAGTCCATAGGACCGACAGGCCAGTTGGTCCAACCGGTCCATAGGACCGACAGACCAGTTGGTCCAACCGGTCCACAGGACCAACAGGCCAGTTGGTCCAACCGGTCCACAGGACCAACAGGCCAGTTGGTCCAACCGGTCCACAGGACCAACAGGCCAGTTGGTCCAACCGGTCCACAGGACCAACAGGCCAGTTGGTCCAACCGGTCCACAGGACCAACAGGCCAGTTGGTCCAACCGGTCCATAGGACCGACTGGCCAGTTGGTCCAACCGGTCCATTGGACCGACAGGCCAGTTGGTCCAACCGATCCATAGGACCAACAGGCCAGTTGGTCCAACCGGTCCATTCGGCCAACAGGCCAGTTGGTCCAACCGGTCCATAGGGCCAACAGGCCAGTTGGTCCAACCGATCCATAGGACCAACAGGCCAGTTGGTCCAACCGGTCCATAGGACCAACAGGCCAGTTGGTCCAACCGGTCCATAGGACCAACAGGCCAGTTGGTCCAACCGGTCCATAGAACCAACGGGCCAGTTGGTCCAACCGGTCCATAGGACCAACAGGCCAGTTGGTCCAACCGGTCCATAGGACCAACAGGCCAGTTGGTCCAACCGGTCCATAGTACCAACAGGCCAGTTGGTCCAACCGGTCCACAGGACCAACAGACCAGTTGGTCCAACCGGTCCACAGGACCAACAGGCCAGTTGGTCCAACCGGTCCACAGGACCAACAGGCCAGTTGGTCCAACCGGTCCACAGGACCAACAGGCCAGTTGGTCCAACCGGTCCACAGGACCGACAGGCCAGTTGGTCCAACCGGTCCATAGGACCGACTGGCCAGTTGGTCCAACCGGTCCATAGGACCGACTGGCCAGTTGGTCCAACCGGTCCATAGGACCGACTGGCCAGTTGGTCCAACCCGGTCCATAGGACCAACAGGCCAGTTGGTCCAACCGATCTATAGGAACAACACGTCAGTTGGTCCAACAGGTCCATTGGAACAACAGGCCAGTTGCTCCAACCAGTCCATAGGACCGACAGGCCAGTTGGTCCAACCGGTCCATAGGACCGACAGACCAGTTGGTCCAACCGGTCCACAGGACCAACAGGCCAGTTGGTCCAACCGGTCCACAGGACCAACAGGCCAGTTGGTCCAACCGGTCCACAGGACCAACAGGCCAGTTGGTCCAACCGGTCCACAGGACCAACAGGCCAGTTGGTCCAACCGGTCCACAGGACCAACAGGCCAGTTGGTCCAACCGGTCCATAGGACCGACTGGCCAGTTGGTCCAACCGGTCCATTGGACCGACAGGCCAGTTGGTCCAACCGATCCATAGGACCAACAGGCCAGTTGGTCCAACCGGTCCATTCGGCCAACAGGCCAGTTGGTCCAACCGGTCCATAGGGCCAACAGGCCAGTTGGTCCAACCGATCCATAGGACCAACAGGCCAGTTGGTCCAACCGGTCCATAGGACCAACAGGCCAGTTGGTCCAACCGGTCCATAGGACCAACAGGCCAGTTGGTCCAACCGGTCCATAGAACCAACGGGCCAGTTGGTCCAACCGGTCCATAGGACCAACAGGCCAGTTGGTCCAACCGGTCCATAGGACCAACAGGCCAGTTGGTCCAACCGGTCCATAGTACCAACAGGCCAGTTGGTCCAAACGGTCCATAGGACCAACAGGCCAGTTGGTCCAACCGGTCCATAGGACCAACAGGCAAGTTGGTCCAACCGGTCCATAGGACCAACATGCCAGTTGGTCCAACCGGTCCATAGGACCAACAGGCCAGTTGGTCCAACCGGTCCATAGGACCAACATGCCAGTTGGTCCAACCGGTCCATAGGACCAACAGGCCAGTTGGTCCAACCGGTCCATAGGACCAACAGGCCAGTTGGTCCAATCGGTCCATAGGACCAACAGGCCAGTTGGTCCAACCGGTCCATAGGGCCAACAGGCCAGTTGGTCCAACCGATCCATAGGACCAACAGGCCAGTTGGTCCAACCGGTCCATAGGGCCAACAGGCCAGTTGGTCCAACCGATCCATAGGACCAACAGGCCAGTTGGTCCAACCGGTCCATAGGACCAACAGGCCAGTTGGTCCAACCGGTCCATAGGACCAACAGGCCAGTTGGTCCAACCGGTCCATAGAACCAACGGGCCAGTTGGTCCAACCGGTCCATAGGACCAACAGGCCAGTTGGTCCAACCGGTCCATAGGACCAACAGGCCAGTTGGTCCAACCGGTCCATAGTACCAACAGGCCAGTTGGTCCAACCGGTCCATAGGACCAACAGGCAAGTTGGTCCAACCGGTCCATAGGACCAACAGGCCAGTTGGTCCAACCGGTCCATAGTACCAACAGGCCAGTTGGTCCAACCGGTCCACAGGACCAACAGGCCAGTTGGTCCAACCGGTCCATAGTACCAACAGGCCAGTTGGTCCAACCGGTCCATAGGACCAACAGGCAAGTTGGTCCAAACGGTCCATAGGACCAACAGGCCAGTTGGTCCAACCGGTCCATAGGACCAACAGGCAAGTTGGTCCAACCGGTCCATAGGACCAACATGCCAGTTGGTCCAACCGGTCCATAGGACCAACAGGCCAGTTGGTCCAACCGGTCCATAGGACCAACATGCCAGTTGGTCCAACCGGTCCATAGGACCAACAGGCCAGTTGGTCCAACCGGTCCATAGGACCAACAGGCCAGTTGGTCCAATCGGTCCATAGGACCAACAGGCCAGTTGGTCCAACCGGTCCATAGGGCCAACAGGCCAGTTGGTCCAACCGATCCATAGGACCAACAGGCCAGTTGGTCCAACCGGTCCATAGGACCAACAGGCCAGTTGGTCCAACCGGTCCATAGGACCAACAGGCCAGTTGGTCCAACCGGTCCATAGAACCAACGGGCCAGTTGGTCCAACCGGTCCATAGGACCAACAGGCCAGTTGGTCCAACCGGTCCATAGGACCAACAGGCCAGTTGGTCCAACCGGTCCATAGTACCAACAGGCCAGTTGGTCCAACCGGTCCACAGGACCAACAGACCAGTTGGTCCAACCGGTCCACAGGACCAACAGGCCAGTTGGTCCAACCGGTCCACAGGACCAACAGGCCAGTTGGTCCAACCGGTCCACAGGACCAACAGGCCAGTTGGTCCAACCGGTCCACAGGACCGACAGGCCAGTTGGTCCAACCGGTCCATAGGACCGACTGGCCAGTTGGTCCAACCGGTCCATAGGACCGACTGGCCAGTTGGTCCAACCGGTCCATAGGACCGACTGGCCAGTTGGTCCAACCCGGTCCATAGGACCAACAGGCCAGTTGGTCCAACCGATCTATAGGAACAACACGTCAGTTGGTCCAACAGGTCCATTGGAACAACAGGCCAGTTGCTCCAACCAGTCCATAGGACCGACAGGCCAGTTGGTCCAACCGGTCCATAGGACCGACAGACCAGTTGGTCCAACCGGTCCACAGGACCAACAGGCCAGTTGGTCCAACCGGTCCACAGGACCAACAGGCCAGTTGGTCCAACCGGTCCACAGGACCAACAGGCCAGTTGGTCCAACCGGTCCACAGGACCAACAGGCCAGTTGGTCCAACCGGTCCACAGGACCAACAGGCCAGTTGGTCCAACCGGTCCATAGGACCGACTGGCCAGTTGGTCCAACCGGTCCATTGGACCGACAAGCCAGTTGGTCCAACCGATCCATAGGACCAACAGGCCAGTTGGTCCAACCGGTCCATTCGGCCAACAGGCCAGTTGGTCCAACCGGTCCATAGGACCAACAGGCAAGTTGGTCCAACCGGTCCATAGGACCAACAGGCCAGTTGGTCCAACCGGTCCATAGTACCAACAGGCCAGTTGGTCCAACCGGTCCACAGGACCAACAGGCCAGTTGGTCCAACCGGTCCATAGTACCAACAGGCCAGTTGGTCCAACCGGTCCATAGGACCAACAGGCAAGTTGGTCCAAACGGTCCATAGGACCAACAGGCCAGTTGGTCCAACCGGTCCATAGGACCAACAGGCAAGTTGGTCCAACCGGTCCATAGGACCAACATGCCAGTTGGTCCAACCGGTCCATAGGACCAACAGGCCAGTTGGTCCAACCGGTCCATAGGACCAACATGCCAGTTGGTCCAACCGGTCCATAGGACCAACAGGCCAGTTGGTCCAACCGGTCCATAGGACCAACAGGCCAGTTGGTCCAATCGGTCCATAGGACCAACAGGCCAGTTGGTCCAACCGGTCCATAGGACCAACAGGCCAGTTGGTCCAACCGGTCCATAGGACCAACAGGACAGTTGGTCCAACCGGTCCATAGGACCAACAAGCCAGTTGGTCCAACCGGTCCATAGGACCAACAGGTTAGTTGGTCCAACCGGTCCATAGGACCAACGGGCCAGTTGGTCCAACCGGTCCATAGTACCAACAGGCCAGTTGGTCCAACCGGTCCATAGGACCAACAGGCCAGTTGGTCCAACCGGTCCATAGTACCAACAGGCCAGTTGGTCCAACCGGTCCATAGGACCAACAGGCCAGTTGGTCCAACCGGTCCATAGGACCAACATGCCAGTTGGTCCAACTGGTCCATAGGACCAACAGGCCAGTTGGTCCAACTGGTCCATAGGACCAACAGGCCAGTTGGTCCAACCGGTCCATAGGACCAACAGGCCAGTTGGTCCAACCGGTCCATAGGACCAACATGCCAGTTGGTCCAACTGGTCCATAGGACCAACAGGCCAGTTGGTCCAACCGGTCCATTCGGCCAACGGGCCCGTTGGTCCAACCGGTCCATAGGACCAACAGGCCAGTTGGTCCAACCGGTCCATAGGACCAACAGGCCAGTTGGTCCAGCCGGTCCATAGGACCAACATGCCAGTTGGTCCAATCGGTCCATAGGACCAGCAGGCCAGTTGGTCCAACCGGTCCATAGGACCAACAGGCCAGTTGGTCCAACCGGTCCATAGGACCAACAGGCCAGTTGGTCCAACCGGTCCATAGGACCAACAGGCGAGTTGGTCCAACTGGTCCATAGGACCAACAGGCCAGTTGGTCCAACCGGTCCATAGGACCAACAGGCCAGTTGGTCCAACCGGTCCATAGGACCAACATGCCAGTTGGTCCAATCGGTCCATAGGACCAGCAGGCCAGTTGGTCCAACCGGTCCATAGGACCAACATGCTAGTTGGTCCAACCGGTCCATAGGACCAACAGGCCAGTTGGTCCAACCGGTCCATAGGACCAGCAGGCCAGTTGGTCCAACCGGTCCATAGGACCAGCAGGCCAGTTGGTCCAACCGGTCCATAGCACCAACATGCCAGTTGGTCCAACCGGTCCATAGGACCAACAGGCCAGTTGGTCCAACCGGTCCATAGCACCAACAGGCCAGTTGGTCCAACCGGTCCATTGGACCAACATGCCAGTTGGTCCAATCGGTCCATAGGACCAGCAGGCCAGTTGGTCCAACCGGTCCATAGGACCAACATGCTAGTTGGTCCAACCGGTCCATAGGACCAACAGGCCAGTTGGTCCAACCGGTCCATAGGACCAACAGGCCAGTTGGTCCAATCGGTCCATAGGACCAACATGCCAGTTGGTCCAACCGGTCCATAGGACCAACAGGCCAGTTGGTCCAACCGGTCCATAGTACCAACAGGCCAGTTGGTCCAACCGGTCCATAGGACCAACAGGCCAGTTGGTCCAACCGGTCCATAGGACCAACAGGACAGTTGGTCCAACCGGTCCATAGGACCAACATGCCAGTTGGTCCAACCGGTCCATAGTACCAACAGGCCAGTTGGTCCAACCGGTCCACAGGACCAACAGGCCAGTTGGTCCAACCGGTCCACAGGACCAACAGGCCAGTTGGTCCAACCGGTCCATAGGACCAACAGGCCAGTTGGTCCAACCGGTCCATTCGGCCAACAGGCCAGTTGGTCCAACCGGTCCATAGGACCAACAGGCAAGTTGGTCCAACCGGTCCATAGGACCAACAGGCCAGTTGGTCCAACCGGTCCATAGTACCAACAGGCCAGTTGGTCCAACCGGTCCACAGGACCAACAGGCCAGTTGGTCCAACCGGTCCATAGTACCAACAGGCCAGTTGGTCCAACCGGTCCATAGGACCAACAGGCAAGTTGGTCCAAACGGTCCATAGGACCAACAGGCCAGTTGGTCCAACCGGTCCATAGGACCAACAGGCAAGTTGGTCCAACCGGTCCATAGGACCAACATGCCAGTTGGTCCAACCGGTCCATAGGACCAACAGGCCAGTTGGTCCAACCGGTCCATAGGACCAACATGCCAGTTGGTCCAACCGGTCCATAGGACCAACAGGCCAGTTGGTCCAACCGGTCCATAGGACCAACAGGCCAGTTGGTCCAATCGGTCCATAGGACCAACAGGCCAGTTGGTCCAACCGGTCCATAGGACCAACAGGCCAGTTGGTCCAACCGGTCCATAGGACCAACAGGACAGTTGGTCCAACCGGTCCATAGGACCAACAAGCCAGTTGGTCCAACCGGTCCATAGGACCAACAGGTTAGTTGGTCCAACCGGTCCATAGGACCAACGGGCCAGTTGGTCCAACCGGTCCATAGTACCAACAGGCCAGTTGGTCCAACCGGTCCATAGGACCAACAGGCCAGTTGGTCCAACCGGTCCATAGACCAACAGGCCAGTTGGTCCAACCGGTCCATAGGACCAACAGGCCAGTTGGTCCAACCGGTCCATAGGACCAACATGCCAGTTGGTCCAACTGGTCCATAGGACCAACAGGCCAGTTGGTCCAACTGGTCCATAGGACCAACAGGCCAGTTGGTCCAACCGGTCCATAGGACCAACAGGCCAGTTGGTCCAACCGGTCCATAGGACCAACATGCCAGTTGGTCCAACTGGTCCATAGGACCAACAGGCCAGTTGGTCCAACCGGTCCATTCGGCCAACGGGCCCGTTGGTCCAACCGGTCCATAGGACCAACAGGCCAGTTGGTCCAACCGGTCCATAGGACCAACAGGCCAGTTGGTCCAGCCGGTCCATAGGACCAACATGCCAGTTGGTCCAATCGGTCCATAGGACCAGCAGGCCAGTTGGTCCAACCGGTCCATAGGACCAACAGGCCAGTTGGTCCAACCGGTCCATAGGACCAACAGGCCAGTTGGTCCAACCGGTCCATAGGACCAACAGGCCAGTTGGTCCAACCGGTCCATAGGACCAACAGGCCAGTTGGTCCAACCGGTCCATAGGACCAACAGGCCAGTTGGTCCAACCGGTCCATAGGACCAACATGCCAGTTGGTCCAACCGGTCCATAGGACCAACAGGCCAGTTGGTCCAACCGGTCCATAGGACCAGCAGGCCAGTTGGTCCAACCGGTCCATAGGACCAACAGGCCAGTTGGTCCAACCGGTCCATAGGACCAACAGGCCAGTTGGTCCAACCGGTCCATAGGACCAACAGGCCAGTTGGTCCAAACCGGTCCATAGGACCAACATGCCAGTTGGTCCAACCGGTCCATAGGACCAACAGGCCAGTTGGTCCAACCGGTCCATAGGACCAACAGGCCAGTTGGTCCAACCGGTCCCATAGGACCAACATGCCAGTTGGTCCAACCGGTCCATAGGACCAACAGGCCAGTTGGTCCAACCGGTCCATAGGACCAACAGGCCAGTTGGTCCAACCGGTCCATAGGACCAACAGGCCAGTTGGTCCAACCGGTCCATAGGACCAACAGGCCAGTTGGTCCCAACGGTCCATAGGACCAGCTGGCCAGTTGGTCCAACCGGTCCATAGGACCAACATGCTAGTTGGTCCAACCGGTCCATAGGACCAACAGGCCAGTTGGTCCAACCGGTCCATAGGACCAACAGGCCAGTTGGTCCAATCGGTCCATAGGACCAACATGCCAGTTGGTCCAACCGGTCCATAGGACCAACAGGCCAGTTGGTCCAACCGGTCCATAGTACCAACAGGCCAGTTGGTCCAACCGGTCCATAGGACCAACAGGCCAGTTGGTCCAACCGGTCCATAGGACCAACAGTGACAGTTGGTCCAACCGGTCCATAGGACCAACATGCCAGTTGGTCCAACCGGTCCATAGTACCAACAGGCCAGTTGGTCCAACCGGTCCACAGGACCAACAGGCCAGTTGGTCCAACCGGTCCACAGGACCAACAGGCCAGTTGGTCCAACCGGTCCATAGGACCGACTGGCCAGTTGGTCCAACCGGTCCATAGGACCAACAGGCGAGTTGGTCCAACCGGTCCATAGGACCAACAGGCCAGTTGGTCCAACCGGTCCATAGGACCAACAGGCCAGTTGGTCCAACCGGTCCATAGGACCAACATGCCAGTTGGTCCAATCGGTCCATAGGACCAGCAGGCCAGTTGGTCCAACCGGTCCATAGCACCAACAGGCCAGTTGGTCCAACCGGTCCATTGGACCAACAGGCCAGTTGGTCCAACCGGTCCATAGGACCAACAGGCCAGTTGGTCCAACCGGTCCATAGGACCAACAGGACAGTTGGTCCAACCGGTCCATAGGACCAACATGCCAGTTGGTCCAACCGGTCCATAGTACCAACAGGCCAGTTGGTCCAACCGGTCCACAGGACCAACAGGCCAGTTGGTCCAACCGGTCCACAGGACCAACAGGCCAGTTGGTCCAACCGGTCCATAGGACCGACTGGCCAGTTGGTCCAACCGGTCCATAGGACCAACAGGCGAGTTGGTCCAACCGGTCCATAGGACCAACAGGCCAGTTGGTCCAATCGGTCCATAGGACCAGCAGGCCAGTTGGTCCAACCGGTCCATAGGACCAACATGCTAGTTGGTCCAACCGGTCCATAGGACCAACAGGCCAGTTGGTCCAACCGGTCCATAGGACCAACAGGCCAGTTGGTCCAACCGATCCATAGGACCAACAGGCCAGTTGGTCCAACCGGTCCATAGGACCAACATGCCAGTTGGTCCAACTGGTCCATAGGACCAACAGGCCAGTTGGTCCAACCGGTCCATTCGGCCAACGGGCCCGTTGGTCCAACCGGTCCATAGGACCAACAGGCCAGTTGGTCCAACCGGTCCATAGGACCAACAGGCCAGTTGGTCCAGCCGGTCCATAGGACCAACATGCCAGTTGGTCCAATCGGTCCATAGGACCAGCAGGCCAGTTGGTCCAACCGGTCCATAGGACCAACAGGCCATTTGGTCCAACCGGTCCATAGGACCAACAGGCCAGTTGGTCCAACCGGTCCATAGGACCAACAGGCGAGTTGGTCCAACCGGTCCATAGGACCAACAGGCCAGTTGGTCCAACCGGTCCATAGGACCAACAGGCCAGTTGGTCCAACCGGTCCATAGGACCAACATGCCAGTTGGTCCAATCGGTCCATAGGACCAACAGGCCAGTTGGTCCAACCGGTCCATAGGACCAACATGCCAGTTGGTCCAATCGGTCCATAGGACCAGCAGGCCAGTTGGTCCAACCGGTCCATAGCACCAACAGGCCAGTTGGTCCAACCGGTCCATAGGACCAGCAGGCCAGTTGGTCCAACCGGTCCATAGCACCAACATGCCAGTTGGTCCAACCGGTCCATAGGACCAACAGGCCAGTTGGTCCAACCGGTCCATAGGACCAACAGGCCAGTTGGTCCAACCGGTCCATAGGACCAACAGGCCAGTTGGTCCAACCGGTCCATAGGACCAACAGGCCAGTTGGTCCAACCGGTCCATAGGACCAACAGGCCAGTTGGTCCAACCGGTCCATAGGACAACAGGCCAGTTGGTCCAACCGGTCCATAGGACCAACAGGCCAGTTGGTCCAACCGGTCCATAGGACCAACAGGCCAGTTGGTCCAACCGGTCCATAGGACCAAACAGGCCAGTTGGTCCAACCGGTCCATAGGACCAACAGGCCAGTGGTCCAACCGGTCCATAGGACCAACAGGCCAGTTGGTCCAACCGGTCCATAGGACCAGCAGGCCAGTTGGTCAAACGGTCTAGGACCAACAGGCCAGTTGGTCCAACCGGTCCATAGCACCAACATGCCAGTTGGTCCAACCGGTCCATAGGACCAACAGGCCAGTTGGTCCAACCGGTCCATAGCACCAACAGGCCAGTTGGTCCAACCGGTCCATTGGACCAACAGGCCAGTTGGTCCAACCGGTCCATAGGACCAACAGGCCAGTTGGTCCAACCGGTCCATAGGACCAACATGCCAATTGGTCCAACCGGTCCATAGGACCAACAGGCCAGTTGGTCCAACCGGTCCATAGGACCAACAGGCCAGTTGGTCCAACCGGTCCATAGGACCAACATGCCAGTTGGTCCAATCGGTCCATAGGACCAGCAGGCCAGTTGGTCCAACCGGTCCATAGGACCAACATGCTAGTTGGTCCAACCGGTCCATAGGACCAACAGGCCAGTTGGTCCAACCGGTCCATAGGACCAGCAGGCCAGTTGGTCCAACCGGTCCATAGCACCAACATGCCAGTTGGTCCAACCGGTCCATAGGACCAACAGGCCAGTTGGTCCAACCGGTCCATAGCACCAACAGGCCAGTTGGTCCAACCGGTCCATTGGACCAACAGGCCAGTTGGTCCAACCGGTCCATAGGACCAACAGGCCAGTTGGTCCAGCCGGTCCATAGGACCAACATGCCAATCGGTCCAACCGGTCCATAGCACCAACAGGCCAGTTGGTCCAATCGGTCCATAGGACCAGCAGGCCAGTTGGTCCAACCGGTCCATAGGACCAACAGGCCAGTTGGTCCAACCGGTCCATAGGACCAACAGGCCAGTTGGTCCAACCGGTCCATAGCACCAACAGGCCAGTTGGTCCAACCGGTCCATTGGACCAACAGGCCAGTTGGTCCAACCGGTCCATAGGACCAACAGGCCAGTTGGTCCAGCCGGTCCATAGGACCAACAGGCCAGTTGGTCCAACCGGTCCATAGGACCAACAGGCCAGTTGGTCCAACCGGTCCATAGGACCAACATGGCCAGTTGGTCCAACCGGTCCATAGAACCAACAGGCCAGTTGGTCCAACCGGTCCATAGGACCAACAGGCGAGTTGGTCCAACCGGTCCATAGGACCAACAGGCCAGTTGGTCCAACCGGTCCATAGGACCAACAGGCCAGTTGGTCCAACCGGTCCATAGGACCAACAGGCCAGTTGGTCCAACCGGTCCATAGGACCAGCAGGCCAGTTGGTCCAACCGGTCCATAGGACCAGCAGGCCAGTTGGTCCAACCGGTCCATAGCACCAACATGCCAGTTGGTCCAACCGGTCCATAGGACCAACAGGCCAGTTGGTCCAAACCGGTCCATAGGCACGCAACAGGCCCAGTTGGTTTCCAACCGGTCCACATAGGACCAACAGGCCAGTTGGTCCAGGACCGGGTCCATAGGACAAACAGTGCCAAGTTGGGTCCAACCGGTCCCATAGGAACCAAACAGGCCAGTTGGTCCAACCGTCCATAGGACCAGCAGGGCCAGTTGGTCCAACCGGTCCATTAGGACCAACAGGCCCAGTCATGGTCCAATCGGGATCCATAGGACCAACAGGCCAGTTGGTCTCAACCGGTCCATAGGACCAACAGGCCGAGTTGGTCCAATCCGTGGTCCTATAGGAACCAACAGGCCAGTTGTGCCCAACCGGTCCATAGGACCAACAGGCCGAGTTCGGTCCAAACCGGTCCATAGGACCAACAGGCCAGTTGGTCCAACCGGGCCATAGGACCCAACAGGCCAAGTTGGTCCAAACCGGTCCCATCGGCACCAACATGCCAGTTGGTCCAACCGGTCCATAGGAACAACAGGCCAGTTTGTCCCTGGTCCTATAGTCACCACCTCCAGTTGGTCCAACCGGTCCTATTGGACCAACAGGCCAGTTGGTCCAACCGGTCCATTAGGACCGCAGGCCAGTTGGTCCAACCGGTCCATAGCACCAAATGCCAGTTGGTCCAACCGGTTCCATAGGACCAACAGGCCAGTTGGTCCAACCGGTCCATAGCACCAACAGGCCAGTTGGTCCAACCGGTCCATAGGACCAACAGGCCAGTTGGTCCAACCGGTCCATAGGACCAACAGGCCAGTTGGTCCAACCGGTCCATAGGACCAACAGGCCAGTTGGCCAACCGGTCCATAGGACCAACAGGCCAGTTGGTCCAACCGGTCCATGGACCAAACAGGCCAGTTGGTCCAACCGGTCCATAGGACCAACAGGCCAGTGGTCCAAACGGTCCATAGGGACCAACAGGCCAGTTGGTCCAACCGGTCCATAGGACCAACAGGCCAGTTGGTCCAACCGGTCCATAGGACCAACAGGCCATGGGTCCAACCGGTCCATAGGACCAACAGGCCAGTTGGTCCAACCGGTCCA